AAAAAAAAAAAAAAAAAAAAAGGAATGTACAAAAAAGAATAAAATTCTGCCATTTACAACAAGGTGGATGGAACTGGAGAACATTATGTTAAGTGAAATTAAGCTGAGCACAGAAAGACAAACCTTGCATGTTCTCAGTATATGTGGGAGCTTGTATGAAAACCAATTGATCTCATGAAGACAGTAGAATGATGGTTACCAGAGGCTGGTAAGGGTAGCGAGGGGTAGGGGGATAAAGTATGGGTTGATTAATGTACAAAAATATAGTTAGATACAGTGAACAGTATTTATAGCACAACAAAGTGACTATAATCAACAATAAGGGTATACTTTAAAATAACTTGAAGAGTGTAATTGGAAGGTTCCTAACAAAGAAATGATAGGGGCGGCGCCTATAGCTCAAGGAGTAGGGCACCAGCCCCATATGCTGGGGGTGGTGGGTTCAAACCCAGCCCCGGCCAAAAAACTGCAAAAAAATAAAAAAGATAATAGAGAAAAATAAAGTTGAAAACTTGTAAAAAAAAAAAAGAAAAGAAAAGAAATGATAAATGCCTGAGTAATAGATAGTATCCCCAATTACCCTGATTTGATTAATTCATGTTGTATGCTTATATCAAAACATCACATGTATCCTATAAAGATGTATAACTATTGGCACCTGTAGCACAGTGGTTATAGCACCAGCCACATATACCAAGGCTGGCGGGTTCGAACCCAGCCCGGACCAGCTAACCAACCAAGACAACTGCCACAAAAAATAGCCGGACATTGTGGCAGATGTCTGGCAGGCAGCCGGACATTGTGGCATACACCAACAGCTACTTTGGAGATTGAGGCAAGAGAATCCCTTAAGCCCAAGAGTTTGAGGTTGCTGTGAGCTGCGACTCTACAGCACTCTACCGAGGGTGACATAATAAGACTTTGTCTCAAAATATATATATATAAAACTATTACGTTGTTTTAATTTCAAAAAGAATATACAAATGTTACTCTTTTATAAAGGATGTAGGTTAACAATAACCAAAAGCGTAGTATCTTTTTTGCAAGAAGTAAAGTAATGGAAACCTCCTCCACAGGAAGCTGAGGCAGATTAGATATTCTATGAAAACAAAAGCACACAATAGGCAGAGGTTGGCAGAGAGGAACCACCTGTCAGGGATGCTACAGAAGTGCAAGATAAGGTTGGATAAAACATCTAACTAAGTCTCTTTCAACCAGAAGTACCTATAATTTTGTATTCTTAGTCCTCAATATCCTGACCAATTTGAGCAATAAGACATTCTGAAATCAACCAATTATTAAATTTGACGTATTTATTATATGCCCACTATACTTATATCTTACTATATGTAAGATATTCTTAAATCTTGACAATAGGCTCGGCACCTGTGGCTCAAGTGGTTAAGGTGCCAGCCACGTACACCTAAGGTGGCGGGTTCGAATCCCCAGCCTGGACCCGCCAAAACAACAATGATGGCTGCAACCAAAAAATAGCTGGGTGTTGTGGTGGGCGCCTGTGGTCCAAGCTACTTGGGAGGCTGAGGCAGGAGACTCGCTTGAGCCCAGGATTTAGAGGTTGCTGTGAGCTGTGATGCAACAGCACTCTACCCAGGGGGACAGCTTGAGGCTCTGTCTCAAAAAAAAAAAAAAAAAAAACTTGACAATAAAAGATAAATTGTATCATATAAATAGTGTTGGGAAAGTTAAACCTTTATACTATGTACAAAAGTCGACTCAAAATGGATTAATGATTTAAATGTAAAGCCTGAAATAATAAAACTCTTAGACCAAAATATAGGGAATAAGCTATGTAGACATTAGCGCGAGCAGTCATCTCTTAGCTATGACACCAAAAGCACAGGCACAAAAAGAAAACATAGACAATGGGCAGCACCTGTGGCTCAAAAGGGCAGGGTGCCAGTCCCATATGCCGGAGGTGGCGGGTTCAAACCCAGCCCTGGCCAAAAACTGCAAAAGAAAAAAAAAAAGAAAACATAGACAAGAGGATTATGCCAAACTAAAAAGGTTCTGCACAGCCAAGGAATCTATCAATAGAGTGAAGAGACAACTATAGAATGGGAGAATATATTTACAGATATCTGATAAAGGGTTAATATCCAAAATTTACATCAAACTCCTACAACTCAATTCCAAAAAATAATAATCTAATCCAAATAATCCAATTAATCCAATTAAAAAATGGGCACTGGGGCTGGACACAGTGGCTCACGCCTATATCCCAGCAGTTTGGGAAGTGTTATCTGCACTCCCATGTTCACTGCAGCAATATTCACAATAGGCCAGATGTGGAAACAGCCAAAACGCCCACCAGTGGATGAACGGATAAAGAAAATGTGGTATATCCATAAAATGGAATATTATTCACCCTTAGAAAGAAGGAAATCCTGTACTCTGCAGTAAGATGGATGGACCTGAAGGACATTCTAAGTGAACTAATCCAGACACAGAAAGATAAACACTGCATGACCTCACTCACATGTGCGATCTGAAATGGTCAAACACATGGAAGCAGAGAGTAGAATGGTGATGGCGGGGGCGGGGGGGCGGTGAGTCAAGGGGTATAAGTGTTCAGTATGTAAAGTAAGTTCCGGAGATCTATATGCTACAGTTCCGGAGATCTGTATGCTACAGGGCTTATAATTAACAATACTGTATTAGAAGCAATCAGACAATTTAGTTCATGAACTTATCCTAGAAAAAGTGCTATATACCTCATTGCTGAAGATCTCTAAGGTCACCTTTGAGGTACTCCCCTTGGGAGGCTATGCACCAACACCAGCACCTAGTCTACCCTTCAAAGCAATTTTCAAACTCTTTTTCTGGAATGGCCATCAGATCTATTGTATGTATGACGCACTTTTCCAGGATAAGTTCACAAACTTAATTGTCCAACCTCATATATACATATATGAATTTGATAAGAGGGTAGATCTTATGTTAAGTGCTCTTACCACAAAAGAAAAAATAAAAAAGGAGGTGGGAGGAAACTTTTAGAGGTGATAGATAAGTTTATGGCATTGATAGTGATGATGGTTTGATGGTTTTGAGTATGTATACTTCTCTCCAAATACATCAAGTTGTATACATTAAATATCGACAGCTTTTTGAATATCAAACATACTTTGATAAAGGAATTTTTAAAAAAAAAACATTGTCAGGCTGGGTGCAGTGGCTCACACCTATAGTCCCAGCACTCTGAGAGGCCAAGGTGGGTGGATTTGCCTGAGCTCTGCGGCCAGGCTGAGCAAGAGTGAGATCCTGTTTCTAAAAACAGCCAGGCACTGTGGTAGGAGCCCATAGTCCCAGCTAGTCAGGAGCTTGAGGCAAGAGAATCGCTTGAGCCCAAGAGTTTGAGGTTGTAACGAGCTATGACATCACAGCACTCTACCAAGGGCATCAAAGTGAGACTGTCTCAAAAAAAAAAAAAAAATTGTCTCATGACTGAGATACATGCAAGAGAGAATGGAAATTCTAGACTGCAAATTCCTTGAGGGTACAAATCACATTTTATTCATCTTTGCATAATCTAAACAATATTGGACTAGACAAGTCTTAGTAAGTACTTGCTGAGCAGCAGATTGGATGAAGCAAAGAAAGAATAACATAGGGGCAACATAAGAACTTACCTCTGTCTGCCCTGGTTTCACAGTCGCGTGACAAGCAATCATGAGTGAGCTGGTAGGAAAGGGCCAGTGCTGGGATGCAGAGTACTGCAGGCTTTCCACCTCCAATCCCACCTCTTCTGCAACTTCCCGCCTAACAGTTTCTTCCAGACTTTCACCTATAAGCACTCAGATTAATTCAGGACAGCCCTGTAGTAGGAAGGGTACACAGATAGCCCATTTGTGAAAGGAGCCCAAAACTGGCTCCAAAATTTCAATGAAATACCCTTGGGAGTGTCCTAAAACTCTTGAGTTTTTACAACAATAGGAATTGGGTCCAGAGTTGGATGTTGAACTGCAATGCTTAAGGCTAACAGGTTAGTTACAAAGCAAAGTAAGAGTGGTGGCTGGAGAGACTACACTGCCCTCAGCTTTAACACAACTCCACTTTTCCCCACTTGCAAATTTTACTCCAAAAGACTGAAAAACAAAAAACCACCCAACTTGTGAATAAATATTGAATTCTAGTTAAATGTTATGTGTGTTGAATATTTAAGGGAAAATGTACTAATTAGGGGCCAGGTACAGTGGTTCACATCTGTAATTCCAGAACTCTGGGAGGCTGAGGTGGGAAGATCCTTTGAACTCTGGAGTTAGACCAGTCTGAGCAAGAGTGAAACCTCATCTCTACAAAAAATAGAAAGATTAGCCAGGTGTGGTGGCACATGCCAGTAGTCCCTAGCTACTTGGGAGGCTGAGGCAAGAGGACTGCTTGAGCCCAGGAGTGTGAGGCTGCAGTGAGCTATGATGACAACACTATACTCTATCCCAGGCAACAGAGCAAGACCCTGTCTCAAAAAATAATAATAATAAAATAAAAAAGTATTGATGGATGGATAAATGAATAGATATGTGAAAAAGTAAATGTAGTAACAAAATATAGAATCTAGGGGTATGCTCAGAGCAAGGGGCCTAAAGAATGGCTCCTCTGTTTATAACATGCCCAACAGGAAACTGGGATCATTGTGATGAGGGGCACAGAACTTGTGGCCTCTCTATCAACAAATTCCCTACATGT